ACGGCTGCCTGCAGACCTGATCACTGGGACACCACCTGATGCTCCACGCAGTATAACCGATTATGCAAATGACTTGCGGAAAAAAATGGATGACGTTTATGAGCACGTCAAACAATCGGGCCAGCAAATGTCTGAAAAGATGAAAACCCGGTATGACCGCAAAATGAACAACAAAGGGTTCGACGAAGGTTCACTTGTGTGGTTGCACAATCCAGTCCGCAGCAAAGGGAAATCTCCTAAGCTTCAAGCTAAATGGGACGGCCCGTACCGGATTGTGACCAGAATCAACGATGTAACCTACCGGATACAGAAAGGCGCAAGAGGGACTCCTAAGATCGTCCATGTGGATCGCCTAGCGCGTTATTATGGGGCCGATAATGCTCGGGACGAGCATGTCTTAGGAGGGGGCAGTGTTACGCGCTCAAATCGACAATAGCACTAGCGCCATCTAGTGTCAGGAACGAGAGCGAGGGGAGCATTGAGAAAATGACATCACAAATTACTCAACCGACAGCGCCTAGTCGAAACTCCAACGCTCGGTACCTTGCGCGTGTTTACTTGAACATTCTGGATATTTCTTTGCTAATTTAAATATATAGGCGCTGCAAGATGCGATCGAGGCAGTGTTGATTTGGCGAGAAAAGCGAAGCTTCGGAGCGGAATAAAGTGAATTAGTGTGTTTAATTATTAGTGTTTTTAACTTTAATTTGTGTAAAGTAAATTAAAGTGTTAATTTAGGTAATTTTATCGGCAATTTTTATTGTCACGAACCTCAAGCTCGTAACAATACGCATAAAAATCCATACACGATACTTTTTTGTTCGGAGTAGGCTCCTTTGTGACCGGGTTAATGATTGGAATTTGAAAATAATAACCCTCTTGTCCTTTGCAATAAATCAATGGGTATTGCAGACCGTCATAAACTTGTGTGTATCGGCTACCCGTTGCAAGTATCATCACGTGCTCGCAAGACAATGTCTCGTGAAGAAAATTGATCACCACTAATTACGACTGCTATTTCGTTTATCAAAGGTGCATTGTAGCGCCTTTCATGCTCGCCTCGAGGGGTCCGATCTGCGTGAATGACGACTTTATAATCCTCTTCAGGTAGGTTTTCTAAAGCAGTTTTAATTTTTTGACTAAAATGTTGTCATGCAAGAATCTTTGAATTTAGAACACTGTGTCTCTCTCAACTCCCTGGATAAATTGGTAGCGACGGTCTACTTCAATTTCTTCGTCACCCATAAAATATACTTGTAAAAATTTATGCTGTTCGTTTTCAGCTGGAAAAAGTGAACCTATTCTATGATAAATTTGCCCTTGCACCGTAAATGTAGGCGAAAATCCCGGCATTATTATTTCCCGGTCAACTCCGAAGGACGTCATTTGAAAGCATAAGTTATATTTCCGGATCCTCATATCATTAACGGGGACGGCAACATATAAAAAGAGAGTTTTCAAAGGTTCTTCTGGTTCCCCAAGTAACGGAAGAGACACTTTGCCATAGGAACAGCACATGCCTGTGATCTCATCTTTCCATTTTAAAGCGCTGCAAAATGGACACGCCTTGTCCATCATTCCGATAACAACTAACCTGTGATTTTTATAATCAATCAACGGATCATAATTGAATGCTGCGTCAAACCGACCAATTGTTTCTTTGAAAATTTTGTCGACGTTCAGCTTGGAGCTGTGCATTTGCATCTCTTCGCGCCTGTGTCTGTTCTGGTGTTTCAGATGCCCTTATAGTAGATTGACGTTCAGCTTGCTCAATGAGTCTGTGTTGAGTTTCATCAGGTGTTTCCGCGGCTCTTAAGGCTGCCTGACGTTCCGCTTGTTCGAATAGCCTTTGCTGACTTTGAGCAGGTGTTTCAGTAGCTCTTAAAGTAGATTGACGCCCTGCCTGTTGAAGACGCCTTTGCTGACTTCGAGCAGGTGTTTCAGTAGCTCTTAAAGTAGATTGACGCTCTGCCTGTTCAAGGCGCCTTTGCTGACTTTGATCAGGTGTTTCAGTAGCTCTTAAAGTAGCTTGACGCTCTGCCTGTTCAAGACCCCTTTGCTGACTTTGAGCAGGTGTTTCAGTAGCTCTCTCTGCCTGTTCAAGACACCTTCGCCGACTTTGAGAAGGTGTTTCAGTAGCTCTTAAAGTAGCTTGACGCTCTGCCTGTTCAAGACGCCTTTGCTGACTTTGAGCAGGTGTTTCAGTAGCTCTCTGTGCCTGTTCAAGACGCCTTCGCTGACTTTAAGAATGTGTTTCAGAAGCTCTTAAAGTAGCTAGACGCTCTGCCTGTTCAAGACGCATTTCGTGACTTTGAGAAGGTGTTTCGGAAGCTCTTAAAGCAGCCTGACACTCTGTCTGTTCAAAACGCCTTTTCTGACGTTGAGAAGGTGTCTCAGATGCTCTAAAAGCAGCATGACGCTCTGCTTGTTCTTGGCTTCTCAGTTCAGCATCTTCTAAAGATTCTAGCGATCGAGCTAATCTTTTCGCTTGTCTTTGAGAAGATACTCTTGAAAGGCTGGACTTACGTTTGCGAGGCATTATGAAGTAACAAAAAACCTATTTATAAAAAAAACGTTAAAATACCTAAAAGGAATTAAATTTCCTTTTAAATATTTTTTTAAATCAAAACAACAAACCAATTCAAGACACAACACGAATCCGAAAACGATAGCCAAAAAAAAATCGAATCAACTTAAACCAAATCACAGAAAACCGAAATCGAAAGCAGTAGTCAATATAAATATAACCAACAAAAAAAGAAGTAAGTGTATAAGTACCGTATACACTATCTATACTATTAATATTCCTTTAAAATATTGTTAAACAACCTAAAACAACGAAAACCAATTCACGATTCTAAATAAACAAAAACCAAAATCAAAGCCAGAGTCTAAATATGTATAAAGGAATACCAACCAAATCAATAAAACCGATCCAAGAAAATACACAAATCCGAAAATGAAAGCCAATATAAATCCATTCAACCTTAACCAAATCACAAAGCAAATAACAAACAACCGAAATCGAAAGCAGGTAGTCGAATAAGCTACGAAATAGAATAATTTAAGCGTATAGGTACCGTATGCACTATAAGTTGACGCGCGGCTCAACGGCGGGAGTTAAGTATATGTCAGGAAACATTTCGTTACCGCGTTTTAAAAACCTAGTAACGACATCTAGCGGAATCAATTTAAACTATGTATACGTTAGTTAATAAGAACTCTGAAAAAATATTTTTCTTATAACTTTGCACAATTTTTCTCATTGTAATACCGATTCATTCATAACCACATATAAGAACTGTATTCATTTCCGTTCAATAAATATTACTAAGGCTTATTAATAAGGCTTACTAAGAACTGTTTCTACCACAATTAAGTAATAAGTAAAAAGACATAATAATCCAGATATTCTGACCTTCTGTGTTCGTCCATCGTACCGTCCTCCGTCTTGTAGAATCACGGTGGCGCCACCTAGCTGAATTTAGTTTTGCAACATATTCGATTTTCTCACGGGAATGATATGTTTTTCCGCTGAAAAAGTAGCCTATGTCACTCTACAGCCACCGAACTATCCCCATACCAAAATTCATGACATGCCGACACTCTGTTGCGACGTGAAAGAAGGACAAACTTTTGCAACATATTCTATTTTCCCACGGGAATGAGGCTGTAGAGTGACATAGGCTACTTTTTTCCCCACAAAAAAAGTAGCCTATGTCACTCTACAGCCACCGAACTATCCCCATACCAAAATTCATGCCATGCCGACGCTCCGTTGCGACGTGAAAGAAGGACAAACTTTTGCAACATATTCTATTTTCCCAAGGGAATGAGATGTTTTTCCGCGGAAAAAAGTAACCTATGTCACTCTACAGCCACCGAACTATCCACATCCAAAAAATCATGCCATGCCGACGCTCTGTTGCGACGTGAAAGAAGGACAACAAACAAACAAACAAACACACTTTAGCATTTATAATATTAGTATGGAAGTATGGGTTAGTATGGATTATGCGAGTCGTTGCCGGCAACGATATCATTGACAGCAATGATAAAGTATGAAAGCCATTCTCATTACCAGTACAGTCTATCAAAAGTCTTCTGATGAACATAGATTGTTTCACAGGGGGATATTTGCCATTGTTACCACCAGGGATTTGAAAGTCCTCAGTAGCTTGCGTTTACGTTAATACTAGCGCCATCTCACAATCAGTAAAAGCTTTATTTTACCCACCAATTTACACACTGTATTCAAAAGATGTCGTCACTGCTGACATTTGTTATTTATACCATAGCCTAAATCTTGCTATCAAAGTTTTGAAATACTGCGGTATTTTTTTAAATATTAGTAATATTATTAATTAACATTACTAATATTCCTTTTAACCACTACTGGTAAGCTTGAAACGCTTGTGTTACGAGTGGTTCACGACAGTAGTCAAATGGCGGATTCGAACCCACGATCTTTTGAGTTGCGGTCCGCGCCCTGCCACTAAGCTGCTGTCGATATAAAGAATAACTCTTAAAGAATAATTGTAGCAATTAAAATTATAGTTATTTAATAGAAGCAAAATTAAAAATTATGTAATGCAAATCAGTTAGTTTTGAACTAATAATTTCGTTTCCAATTTTCAATTAAATCATATTTTCCTTTTAATTTTATTAAAATGTACGAAATAATACTAAACCGAGTTGTTATTTATCGGTAACTTATAATCCCAACGCCATCTATAACAGCGCAGAAGAAACTTCCCTCGTTTCGTTACCTGATGATTTGTCAGAGTGGCTCATCAATATTGTATATTATCTATGGTTACCACAAATGGTAATTTAATCTTTTTTATGCAGCTGATAATCAGGAAGATGCTATTGCCCATCTGTTATTTCAATTAACCTCTGTCGCCTCTTACGCCACCCACATGAAGTTATGAGGTGGTCGATTCTCTTACGTCGGTAACACACGGCTAGTGAGCTCTGGCAACACTGGTGCAACATACCACTATGGTTTTTCAACGTGGTGTCAATCCCATTCTGCAGCAGTAGAACCGCGACTCGTGTGTGGCCTCTGTAGGCTGCACAGTGCAGACACGTGTTGCCTTGGGAATCCACGCAGTTTATATTTGGAGGATTCGAACTGCTTAACTGTAACAAAAATTATAATTAATTTAAATAGGCCACTGGGGTGTAAGGGTTCCTTGAAACCTGCTAACAAACAAGATGGTAAAACTTTTCAATTATTTTAGGCTTGTTTAAAGCTCTTATGAACGTCAAAATCGACACTGGCTCGAAAAACAAAACCTTCTGAGAAAACCCGCGGGACACTATTTTATTTTTATGATATAAAGTGACAAGCGAATATAAATTTACCTGATAATAAGTAATACAACATTTACAGCTATCCCCAGAAGCGAATGTCTTATCAGTAAGAGGGACGGAATGCGACTCGAGAGCCAATCAGCGGGTGCGAACGATACGCACAGCCAAACATACGCAATACGGCCAATTATACGCAATAACGGTCACCGCTAGACTTTCGTGCCGCGAGTTTTACTGCCTGTACAACTAGCTATATAGTAGCTACGGCTAAGTATAGAGATACACAGCCTATTTTTACCGCCAAAGAGCACTGCATGCCTACCTTAACCAAACAATCTCCTATGCCAAAAAGTAATCCTACAACTACCTGGTGGCAGGCCTGCTGTACACCTTGTTTAATTTATGTTGGGAATTAAAACGGGTACCGGATGACTGGTGTAAAGCAGTTATAGTACCAATATATAAAGGAAAAGGGTCACAGCAGGACTGCAAAAACTACCGCGGTATCAGCTTGCTTAGTATTGTGGGTAAACTGTATGCTAAGGTGTTAATTGAAAGAGTTATGAAAGAAACTGATGGAAAAATTTGGGATGTGCAAGCGGGTTTTAGAAAGGGAATGGGGTGTACAGATCAAGTCTTTTCCATGCGCATGATTGCGGAGAAGTTTTTGGCCAAAAACCAGAAAGTTTTTTGTGCGTTCATGGACTTGGAAAAGGCTTATGACAGAGTGGACAGGAATGTGTTATGGCAAACACTGAACTCATATGGGTTGAGCGCTGGTTTGATACAGGCATTAAGGTCTCTTTATAGGGACTCTAGTGCCTGTGTCAGGATCAATGGGGTCTACTCGGACTGGTTTGGCATCCAAAAAGGTGTCAGACAGGGCTGTGTGGCTTCCCCTTGGCTGTTCAACCTATTTATGGACCGGTGTTTGCAAACTTTGAAAGATGAAGAATGTGGGTTAAGAATGGGCGAGTTAACCGTCAAATGCCTTTTGTATGCCGATGATCAAGTCATACTTGCGTCATCGGCGGCAGAGTTGCAATTAATGAACTGGGAATTAAAAGAAAGGGGAATGAAAGTGAACGCAAGTAAGACGAAAGTGATGGTTTTTGAAAGAGAAGAAAGCAAAACGGTATGTGAAATAAGAATAGAAGGAGAGTTGATTGAGCAAGTGGATGAGTTTGTGTATTTGGGATGTGTATTTAGCAGGGATGGTAGATATGATAGGGATATAGAACGACGAGTAAATGCAGGGAATAGAGTGAATGGGGCACTACACTCTATTATGAAGAACCAGAATTTGTCAAAACAGGCACGTATGGTAATTCATAATGCTGTGTTAGTCCCTACTTTAATGTATGGTAGTGAAAGCTGGGTGTGGCAGAAGAAGCACGAAAGTAGAATAAATGCTGTAGAAATGCGGTCTTTAAGGAATATGCTAGGGTGTAATCTGAATGACAGGGTGAGAAATTGCGTGATAAGAGATAAATGTGGTATGCAAGATGATGTTGTGACCAGGATTAAGAAAGGAATGCTTCGGTGGTTTGGTCACGTAGAAAGAATGAATGAGGAAAGAGTGACAAAGCAAATTTATATGGCAGATGTGAATGGCCAAGTCGGGAAGGGACGCCCTAGGAAAAAGTTTATCGACCAAATTGGCGATATTTTGAAAATGGGCCACGTTAGAAGTACCCTTAACCGACGAGCATGTATACGTAGATATATGGATGTAAAGGAGGCGAAAGAGGTATGTCAGGATCGTGCCAAATGGAAGTCCGTAGTCTCTGCCTACCCCTCTGGGTGACAGGCGTGAGTGTTTATGTATGTAATCCTACCATCTAGTAAACCATACTAGTACTGGGATGTTTATTTTTTGAAATGTCATAATACAATTTCATTTATTACAGCTTATAATAATTCAATACAATATCAAATGTCTGTTAATATTTTGTAATGTCTATTTTGAAATAAAATAAACAAATAAACTATTTGATTTGATTTAACAATATGTCCATAGACTTGCCAGGGGACTAGCAAGTGCAAAGTAAGAGCTATTTTCACACATCACTGTCCTCTCAATATATTTATCTATCTCATTGTAGTAGGCTTTTTAACAAAATATATATAGGTTAGCCGATTGGGATAGGATGCGGTCTTTCTTTGCATCCTACTCTTGGGCGCGGATTTGCTTCTCGCCGGACGATCCCAACGTTGTTGCTCATTCTGTCGCTGATGTGGTACTTCAGGGCATGTTACTTTTTATTTCTTCTTCTGTGGTGCCCATCGGAGGCAGATCTCAGCCATGGTTTAGTCGCTCCTGTAAAATAACATCACGCTATAAGCAGGAGTGTTACCGAAACTGGGCTGACGCTTCAACGTCCCGGGATGTAAACACCAGATTCCTAAAAAAGAAGTATAAATCCGCCTCCAGGTCCTTCAAAAGAGTCATTGCCAAGGCAAAGTCAAAGCACATAGGCAGAATCAGTGAGAAACTAGTTCGCCTTCTTTCTGGAACCCGTGCATTCTGGTCTCACGCCAGGGCTGTCCAAGGAAATTTCTGTCAGCCATCTCTTCCATCTCTGCACAGGGAGGACGACCCACTGGCCCATGCCGCAAAGGAGAAAGCCGATATGCTAGGCTTTATCTTCGCGTCCAACTCGACTCTTGTTGAGAGGGGAGCACACCGCCGACCATCCCGCGGTGTGAGTGCTCCATGTCGGTTGTGCGGTTCACACAGCGTTCGGTTCGCAAAGCACTCCTCTCCCTGGACATCCACAAGTCGAGTGGGCCTGACGGAATCCCCCCAATTGTACTGAGGACGTGTGCTCGAGTTGGCACCGATTCTAATGTGTCTTTTCCGGTACTTCTACTCCATAGGCGTAGTCCCAAAATCCGATCTCTAAAAAAGACAACCGCTCAGATCCGTCGAACTAAAGGCTTATCGCCATCACCTTGTTCTCCAAAATAATGGAATCCATTGTTAACAGCCAGCTCATGCAGTACCTTGAGGATCACCAGCTGATTAGTGACCGCCAATACGGTTCGGCGGCAACATATCGAGTGACGTGCATTTTCATGGTCACGGAAGAGAGGGCCAAATTGGCCTCTAAAAAGCTTGGCGTGCTCAGCAGAGTGGGACAGTATTTCATGCCGGCACACCGCCTGCAACTTACAAGGTGCAGTTTCGGCCTCACATGGAATACTGTTCCCATCTCTGGGCCGGGGCTCGCAAGTGCCAGCTCCTTCCACTTGACCGCATCCAGCGCGGAGCGGCTCGAATCTTCGCCGACCAAGTGCTTTTCGATCGGCTCGATTCACTGGCACTGCGAAGAGATGTTGCATCTCTTTGCATTTTCTTTCGCATCTACCACGGGGAGTGCTCTGAGGAATTGTTCCGATTAATCCCAGCCGCCAAAGTTCATGAACGCACATCGCGGCAAAACTCCCGATACCATCCACTTTACCATCTGAATGCCCAGCGGTCCACCACTGTACGTTTCACTAGGAGTTTTCTTCCGAGTATGACCTCTGTGTGGAATAGTTTACCACCGGCGATTTTTACGGACCGATACTATCTAGGGGACTTCAAGAAAAGAGCTTACTCCTTTCTAAAAGGCCGGCAACGCACCTGCAATTTCCTTGGTGATGCAGTTGTTCCTGGGCGGCGGTAGTCACTTAACATCGGGTGAACCGTATGCTCGTCTGCCCCTCTCCTATAAAAAAATGTTTTTCATAGCATAAGGTGGCAAACGAGCACACAGTCCACCTGATGGTAAGGGGATACTGTGGCCCATAGACATTCATATTTAACCTTAATTAAGGATCAAAATGCAAATGCGTTGTCACCCCTTAGGACTAAGATGAAATGCCTCGATTCCAGTAAAAAGGGTATCCGGTTCTCTACACTAACCATACGAAACACAACAGCATTACGCTGCTGCATTCGTGATACAACTTAATATAGCTGCAGCACGGCTCTGTCACGTAAAACTATAAAACTATTCGAAAATATTTACATAAAATCCCTAATGCTTGTTAAGATTGCATGACCATTCAAGTCATGCATGCCATTTTGCAAATTATTGAAAGGCTGATCCAATACGACAAGGCCAATAAAGAATAAGAAGTAGTGGAGTTAGTATCACCTTTGTATATAAGAGTCAAATAATATCCCCAACTTACCAGAGCTTGTATCTCATCAATGTGACCTTCTTTGGCGGCGCTAAGCAGCCTCCGCTCTCTGTCAAGTCGCTCGGCTCGTTGCGCTGCTTCCAACAACCTTTGTACGTCTCGTGTCTTGCACACGTCACATGCTGTTCGACCCTCGCCGTTCATTATATTCACGTCCGCTTTGTAATTCAGTAACAGGATCACTAGTTCCTATAGGAATAAATAACAATTGTTACACAATTTCATACTTAAGGTCAACTGAGATCTGCTGACCTTGTAATTTTTTTAATGATTTAAATTACATGTCGTAGAACCGAGATGGCGAACCAATGGCACGCTTGCAATCGATGGCAGGCGACACAATATTTTGGACACGCCCCGATCACAAAGTTCACTATGAACGAACGCGAGTGATCCTAGTTACATCGTGGACTGCCATTTGCTAATGACGCTTAGTTTGACTCATCATCATCATCATCATCATCATTACAGCCCTTCACAAGTCCATGCCTCCCCCAGGGAATGCATAATTCGTTTGCGTATAGCATAATAGTCAATTTCGTTGACTGTATTTAAAATTCATTTGTGTTATATTTAGGTTTTTACAACCTTAATAAGTTATTTGTCATTTAATCTGCAACAACAACAGTCACACTAATGTTACTTTAATTTGAATTACGTGCATAACTGAAACATTTATTATTATACATTGCCAAATGTAATTTACAATGTGTAATAATAAATGTCTTAACTCAAAACTCTTCATTAAATTTTTTGTAGTAAATAAAGTATTGAATCGATAGTATTTAGTACTATTATTTTCCCCATAATCACGAAAATTATTTTACGGCACGTCTATTACCTAATCAAACATTTCTTTAGAAAAATGGCACGTAGCCTATCGTGTCGTATAGAATATCGTATAGGGCGACAATGAGAAATATCGGAATAATGTAAAGGTCCGCGTCCACTAGGCTCGCCGAGCCGAGTCGAATCGAATCGCAGAATGTCGCCTCCTATATATTTACTATGAAACTGCGTCCATTAGCAACGAGCCGTGGCATGCCGAATTGAATCGACGAATTGCGCGAATTGCTTGACGGGCGAATTTCTTCGCCGATGAGATTCGATCCGATTAGGCGCGCCTCAGTCGACGCGGAGAAGTGGATGCGTGCCAAGGTATTTTTATTAATTTCTATTTAGTTTTCATAAAAACTTTTTGTTTAAATAAAAATGAATGAAGAACATTTTCATAGGATAAACGAAGGTATTGAAAAATTTAAGAGGATCCCTTTTCAAATCTAGATATAAATGATGAAATTCGCCACAGTTATTCCTTTTCATATAAATCTATATGAAAAGGAATAACTATATATAAAGCTTAATGCGGCTGTGTTTCGTATGGTTAGTTTAGAGAACCGGAGATTCTACTCACTGGAAATGAGTCATTCCATCTTAGTCCTACCAGGGGTGACAACGCATTTGCATTTTGATTATTAACAGGAGATAGATGTAGATGTCTATAGGCCACAGTATCCACTTACCATCTGGTGGACTGTGTATTCCTTTGTCAACCTTACCCTACGTTTGCACCGAAAAACATCCAACACGTAATGTTTTGAAAAAAAAAGCGCATAAAATAAATCACACAACATGTTTTTTTGATCGTGGCGTTCGCACTCACAAAAACTGTGTAAAATTTTCAATAGATATTCAAACTTATCTTTCAAGATAACAATATTTCTACAAATTTGCTTTCAAACATTTTGTTTCTGTAGTTATAAAGATTTAATATAGTTTATTTTTATATATATTTATTATAATATTTATATTATATATATTTATTATATTTAGTACCCGGATGACCGCGCTTTGCTCGGTTTTTTTAAGTTACATTTATATACAATGTGCTCCAGAGTTGGCACCGGCTTTAACGCGTCTTTTCCGGTACTCCTACTCCCTAGGCGTAGTCCCAAAATCATGGAAGACGGCTTACGTCCACCCGATCCCTAAATAAGGCGACCGCTCTGACCCGTCCAACTATCGGCCAATCGCCATCACCTCCTTGTTCTCCAAAACAATGGAGTCCATTGTAAACTGCCAGCTCATGAGGTACCTTGAAGATCACCAGCTGATTAGTGACCGCCAATACGGTTTTCGCCGTGGTCGGTCAGCTGGTGATCTTCTGGTCTACCTAACTCACAGATGGGCGGAGGCAGTAGAGTTCAAGGGGGAGGCATTGGCCGTTAGTTTGGACATTGCGAAGGCCTTCGATCGGGTTTGGCACAAAGCGCTTCTTTCGAAGCTCCCTTCCTATGGGCTTCCCGAGAAATTGTGCGATTGGATCACCAGCTTTCTTGCAGATCGGAGCATCAAGGTCGTTGTAGACGGTGCAAGCTCCGATTGCAAGCCTATTAATGCTGGTGTTCCACAGGGCTGTGTGCTATCGCCAACGCTGTTTCTTCTGCATATCAATGACATGTTGCGTACCCGTAACATTCATTGCTATGCGGATGACAGCACTGGTGATGCTCTTTACACCGGCCGAGCCAATATTTCTCGGGAAAACGTCTCCGAGTGCCGGGACAAACTTGTGTCTGAAGTCGAGTCTCTGCTGGACAGAGTCTCGGATTGGGGGCGACTAAATCTAGTCCAGTTTAATCCCCAGAAGACACAAGTTTGCGCGTTAACCGCTAAAAAGAACCCCTTTGTCGTATCCCCTCAGTTTCAAGGCCCTCCCCTTGTTGCATCAGCCAGTATCGGAATCCTCGGCGTCGACATATCGAGTGACGTGCAGTTTCGTGGTCACTTGGAAGGGAAGGCCAAATTGGCCTCTAAAAAGCTTGGCGTGCTCAGCAGAGCGGGACAGTATTTCATGCCGGCACACCGCCTGCAACTTTACAAGACGCAGGTTCGGCCGCACATGGAATACTGTTCCCATCTCTGGGCTGGGGCTCCCCAGTACCAGCTTCTTCCACTTGACCGCATCCAGCGCAGAGCGGCTCGAATCGTCGACGACCGAGTGCTTTCCGATCGGCTCGATTCACTGGCGCTGCGAAGAGATGTTGCATCTCTTTGCGTATTTTATCGCATCTATCACGGGGAGTGCTCTGAGGAATTGTTCGGATTAATCCCAGCTGCCAAATTTCGTGAACGCACTACACGTCAAACGTCCCGATACCATCCACACCATCTGGATGCTTGGCGGTCCACCACTGTACGTTTCACAAGGAGTTTTTTCCACGTACAACCTCTCTGTGGAATAGTTTACCACCGGCGATTTTTCCGGACCGATACGACCTGGAGACCTTCAAGAAAAGAGCTTACTCCTTTCTAAAGGGCCGGCAACGCACCCGCAATTCTCCTGGTGTTGCGGTTGATCATGGGCGGCGGTAATCACTTAACATCAGGTGAGCCACATGCTCGTTTGCCCCTTCTTCTATAAAAAAAAATACAAATTATATTTTATATATATATATATATATATATATATATATATATATATATTTATAGTTTTTGATCTTATTGACATAATAGAAAAAACTGACCGGTTATTTGAATAAAAAATCATGAGTGCAATTAGTTTAGGCAATTAAAATTTTCGTATTTTTAAAAAATACTAAAAAAAGGGCTCGAAATAATAGATTTTCTCTCAAAAGAAGGGAACTCGAAAAAAAAAGGAAAAAAAATCGGAATCACGACGCGACGCGAACCACGGAACTTCAATATCACGCCCGAACAACATCCCATCTGAGCTATTACGATCGTTGGTAACCTGTCAAAATTTACCTTCTTATATTGTAGCAGTTTTTTTATTGCCTGAAAACACGGACAAAATAGACATTTTCTAAAAATAAATCCTAGCTAGATCGATTTATTGCCCCCGAAAAATATATATATATATATATATATATATATATATATATATATATATACATATATATACAAGAATTGCTCGTTTAAAGGTATAGGATTATAAGTAGATTAATATATTTCAACAACATGTTCTATGACTATGCAAACGCTTTTTGATATATTTACAGAAAACAGTGTTTAAAACATGTTTTTTGTGAAAATCACGTCAATGCAAACTCACGGTTATTCTATTTAAAAAAAATACAGCGATACAGTCATCTAGTTAACACGGAAGTCAGAACAGAAACGTCAAAAGTGCAAAACGTACTAACTACGATCACACACATTCAAATATACACAGAGTATTTGAATTCCATAATTCAACCATAGATGATGTAGGTGGTACAGCTATACTGCATTAGTATTAAAGCTACAGCTTAAACATGTCAGCTCAACCTAAAAAAACGTAACTCTTCACATGGGAGATTTTTACATTTATTATTATAAAACTAAAGTGACAGTCCACCTGATGGTAAGTAGCTACCTACTTACCATCAGGTGGACTGTAAACGTCAGTCAATGGACAGCTGTAATCAACTTTAGTAGAAGACAACAAAGAAAACTAGACATGTGTTGCCCCCATTGAGGACTAAAATGTAATGCCTTTCTATATATTTTTAAATGTATTAATCGACAAAAAATTAAGCAACAAAAGCACCTACAAAAGCATTCATTTCCATCCAGTAATAAAGTTTTAGACTTTATCCTGCTACATACGATATATCGATATTTATCACGTGATATATATATATATATATATATATATATATATATATATATATATACATATATATACATATATATATATATATATATATATATATATATATATATATATATATATATATATATATATATATTGATATATATCGATATTGTTTATAAATATCGATACGATATATATCGACATATTTTTTCATTTGACCATTCCTACCAGCAAGCAGCAGTGCAGGCACTGCCGCTTGGAGGCAGAAATACGTAACGAGTATGGTACCTATGGAGTCAGATTCCTAGACAGAAAAGACATCATACAACCTTGTAGATTAAAAGTCTAAATAAATATTATATAGGTACACGAATTTCCCCATAGCATGACACCTACTAAAAGGGATTTGCAATCGCAATTTCGATGATCGATGAAAGAAACGCTGTCCATTCTTATACACTCTTTCAACACGAAAATATGTGTTTCTATTATCCATTACACCCTAAAACGTAACCCTATAAACGTTCCCCATAGATAATGTGTGAGTTGTTCACAGAAATCTAAATAAATAGTTATTTAAATCTTTGTGATGCCAATTGTCATATACCTCATTCCCAATGAAAGAAGCCTTGTGCAGGGCCGTGTCACCACTGTCGTTCACCTCGTCCACATTTACGCCGGCGTCTAGCAACAACTCCACAACGTCCTTGTGAGCAAAATACGTCGCCAAGTGTAGCGGTGTCCATCCTAAGTTACTTTTGCTTTTACCTAAAACAACAGTATAAATATACCTGAATATTTTAACGACCATCGTCTGTAACGTGCTCGATGATAGCAGACTTTAATTTTAAAGATTTTAATTTACGCCTTTCGTAAAATAAGCCAACTAAGTATAGATAATTTATATGTAGAATAAGGGTGGTCAAACGAGACATCTACATCTACCTTCGATTAAGAATTAAAATTCGATTAAAAAAAATATTTTAAAGTAAACATACAGCCTATAAATAGCACACATATATTATCATCAACATCATTATCATTTCAGTTTATCACTAGTCTACTGCTGAACATACGAGTACATCGTATATCGTACTCGCAAAACACGGTCCACCTGCATCCATCCTGCATCTCTTACCAGGTCGTTCATCTAGTGGGGAGCCGCCCTAAGCATTGCTTCCTGAGACGTTTCTTTCCCCTCAGTTCGAGGTTCGAGGAAGGTTCGAGCTTTATGGCGAGCCGATTGCTACATGGACCCAACGCACGCCGCATAACCACTACACTCTCGAAAGCTCTTTGCAGTTCCTTATATGGCCAGTAGTAAACGACCACATCTCAAATCAGTCAATCCAGTACCGCTGAAGGGACTGTAGCACCGCCTACAAAGGCTTTCTCATAGTCCACATACGCAAGACAAAGTGGTAGAATGTACTCTTCGGTCTTCTGCACAATTTACCGAACGGTTTGTGTGTTTGGTATTAAAGCATTGGTAATAAAGTTCGGAAGTTTGGAAGTCGTCAAGCCTGCGTACGAGACGATTGACAATGGCTCTAGAAAAGTGCAAGTAGATGCAGCTCAGAAGGGAAATCGGTCTGTAGTTCTTCAATAGAGCATTGTTGCCTTTCTTAAAGTATAAGACTACTATACCACTAATAGTCTCCAGAATAGTGGTAACACGAAAGGCATATCTCTATCACGTCTATACATTATATCCCTTTCCTTGGTAGAGCTATGCTGCGGGGCAAATGGGTTGGCTCAACCGGGGTAGGACATGCTCGCACAGAATACCACCGTGAAAAAGCAGAATGATGCTGCTGTGTTACATATGATAAGTGTAGAGGACAGATATAGATGTCTATGAATCACAGCATCCACTGACCGTCAGTTAGACTGAGTACTCGATTGCCATCTTTATTTTAAAAAAAATCACACTGATGGGCACAAACCACTACGCACTTTCCCATTGCGTATTAGCGGCGTTCACACGTTCTCTAAATATTTTATTTCTCAATAGAGCATTTGTCAACTATGATGACAATGACGAAATTTTTATGCTTACATAATAAAATTCAATTATTACATAACACAACATGGTGCTTCAATTAACAAAGTCATCTACTAAAATAAAACCAACCAAAATTTATGTAAATTACACTTAAGAACTTGTTTCAAAAACAAGTTCTCATTTGACCAAGTTGAAGTATAGATTCAACATTAGTTGTTGACTTCAAATTCATGCTTAAATGTTTTGTATGTCAACCAAATATGGTCTATTTTAGCATACATAAATAAAAAGGTACTTGCATAGTTGAATTAATATATAATTAAAATTACATTATGTTAAAATATTGATACTTTACAGATTGGCTGAGTCATAATCAAAAGGGATATTATTACATTTCCATACAAGTCATGTAATACAATATCTTATGTTTATGTAATGTATATTTCCTGCAGCATACAGAAGATATAATCTACTAGATGGAATACAAAGATCACTAGCTAATTATTGCGTACTGCATATACCAAAATAAAAATCGAAGTGACATTTATGTTTGGTGATATAATACAAAAAATTATTTTCCTAAAACAAAATTCTATATTAACTTAAAGGTAGTTAATAACTTTATATTAACTTAAAGATAGTTAAGTTAGTAAAGGTAATTAAATTAACCCTTTCCCTGTCCCACGAATCGTAAGTATATGAACATTTTGATTCTTTAACTTTTGTATCTATTTCGTGGACAGGGAAAACTGTTAAAGTAACCTTTATGAATGCGAAAAAGTAACAAGTATGTTTATAAAATAACAATACCAAACTATAATAATTTAATTTATAATATCACATTTTTTCACATTATTCACACATTAATTTATAATATCATCTTACATCACACTTAAAAGATATTTCTTTTAATATCTTTATCGGCACGACTACAGTTCTTACGGCGCCACGATTTGAAGGCAGATTCGTATAGATCTCGACGAGATACGCCGGAAAGTAAGAATAATTTTTTTCGAAATTTCGCTTTTTTTTATTATGTGCGAGCAGCTATGCAGGTCTAGGAAAAGAGAGCAATATCACTGCGACCTAAAAGATCTATTGTGATCGCTGCTATGGATATAGTTCACCGCTAAGCCCTGTCTTCAATGAATAGGAGTTGCTCAGCCGTGAGTTGTATAGCCAATTTCACTTCTTCTGGGCGGAGTAGATAGTTTCCCAGATGAGTGTTACGTTTGCGCATTAAGGGTCCGCAAACAGGATGTGCAGAGGCGTTTCTTCCTTTATGGAACAGAACAGACACATCCTTGAGTTGCTTAGACCCAGGATGGACTTGTGCTTTTTAAGACAACAGAGCCCAGTTAGGGCTCTTGTCAGAATGCGCAATTTATTTTTACTTAATCCCAGGACTTCTGAAGCGAATTTACAATCAAAAGCCCGGATCAAGTTTTTAGAATGTTTTAAGCCTGGTGTGTCAGACCAGATCTTAAGTGTTTTATTGTGATAAAGAGTTTCAAGGGTCAATCGGGCTAGGCTTCTTGAGATTCCACAAAATGGCTCAGGTCCAAATTGTGTGCACTGTGAGCCCTCCCGTGCAAGTTTGTCGCAAATTCGTTGCCTACAATACCCGCGTGACCCGGAACCCATCGTAAAACGACCCTGTTGTTACATCTCAGGGCGTTTAAACGGTTCACGCAGCCTCCAACAAGCTTCGAGTTCACAAAGTTCGACCGCAGCGCCAGTAGCGCTGCTTGACTATCAGAGTTTATATAAATTATATGGTTGACGTAGTGTTTTTGCAGATTGATTTCCGCACACTGAAGTATGGCGAAAATTTCTGCCTGGAAGATAGAGGTGAATCTACTATTCATACTAGGTTTGAATTTGGGGTGTTCCCCGTAAATTTCAAAGCCTACGTCGAAGCCCATTTTAGACCCATCGGTATACCATATGAGACTACCGACCTCACAGATAACCAGGCCATTCAACCAGTTTTCTCTGGAGGGTAATTCCACTATATACTTTTTATCAAGAGTTTGTACTGGACGCATGATGTCTGAGATCACGCATAAGACCGGTGTTTTCTTAATTGAGTCGAGTATGGAACTCAATCTGTAGGAGAGCAAGCTCAGACCGCCCTGGGCGTTAATCCTATACAAACTAGCCCTCGCCTCCTTGTCTAGATATAGATCAAGGGGCGTTAGGCATAGAGTGCATTAAGAGCCGCTCCAGGCGATGATCGCATAGCTCCAGTTGCCATTAAGCAGGCAGCTCTTTGTAGACTATTTAGTCTGTCCGCAGTCGCTTTTTGGTTGGCTTTGTTACACCAGACAATAGAGGCGTAGGTGAGAATCGACCTCACTACGCTGCTGTACAGCCATAGGACCATACTGGGATGCAAACCCCAGTTGTTTCCGACTAAACAACTGCACATACCTAGAGCAATTTTTGCCTTATGGCATACGTTGCCAAGGTGTGAGTTCCACGTTAGTTTTTGGTCGATTATTACGCCCAAGTATTTCAGTGGAAAATGGTACTTCTCTACGATTAAGTTTTGGTGGGACTATTTTGTCCAACTGTCTCTTTTTGGTAAAGGGTATTATAACAGTTTTATCAGCATTAACTGATAAACTGTTATCCTTACATCTGTTATTTATGGTGTTTAGGGCTCTTTGTATTATTGACGATAAATTACTTTGGCAAAAGCCCCTCGCAATGATCACAGGGTCATCCAGCATAACCTAGTGTGTCAATGCGTAGTTCTGCCATTTTGTACAATATTTGGTCAACCACAAGAGTCCAAAGAAGGGGTGATAAAACAACTGCTTGTGGGCAGCCTCTTGTAGTTGCAACCTCAATCGAAGTTTGAAACAGCGCTATATTTGCCTTTCTATTTCAGAGCATCGATTTCACCCATCAGATGGTTGTGGGGTCAACATTTTTAGGTGTCAGGCCCCCAATCAGCAGTGATGTGGGGCTACTCTCGAAGGCGCCCTCAATATCTAGAAAGGCACAAAGAGCTATTTCTTTATCCTCCAGTGCTTTTCGACCCCCTCAATGAGACTGATCAGGGCTGCTTCCGTCGATTTGCCTCTGCGGTAAGCATGCTGGTTATAATATATGGGCCTTGTAGCTAGAGCTACATCCCTTATATATCTATCTATAATCTTTTCCAATGTCTTAAGGAGAAAGGAAGATAGGCTTATAGGTCTAAAGGACTTTGGCAAAGCATAGTCCTTTCTATTAGCCTTAGGTATAAATAGAACTTTGACAATTTTCCATCGTTTTGGAATATATCTCCAGGCAAAAATCATTTTAGATTTAGATATTTCGCTTCCCAAGATATTGAGACTCAAAAATCGAATACTAAAACCAAATCAGCACGTCCCGACTCTACATAGTTTTGTATGACTGAAAATCGTGGTGCCGTAGGAACCGTAGAAGTCCTCCTTTATCAGTTATGGAACCATTAGCTGGTGACAAAAGAACGGAATGAATTTTATTCCATTTCATTGCTTACAAATTATACTTCTTATTATAATATATGATTTTACTACTTGTTCGGAAAAAACCATCTATCGTGGAAGATGATATAAGAAAATAACTGGGACAATAAAAATATTTAGAAACAGCATGCTAAAGATTATTATCACTAAAGCTCATTCTAAGGGGTTATTACAAATCATGATATATTCCTTAATTTATACATATAAATAATATTGAAGTCTATGTCTTTAACATTGAAATAACTGCCTTTAATTCGCCTGAGTGTGTTATTTGCATGATAATAAGACATAATTACTTTTTTTTAAACTGTCTGTCAGTGTGTAAAATTAGATGAACAGTTATATAGCTGCTGCCACGAGTGACCCTAGGCTATATTTTATTCAAAAAACTTACGAGAATTTTTTGAGAAATTGAAAAATGTATAAAATAAATGGTCTGATCATTTCATTCAATCTTAATAACACCACATTAATAGATAGTCTGAGCCTTTGTTTTATTAAAAATAAGAATTTTAACTTTTTGATAGTAAGTCATTGCACCTATTTCTATTTTCTGGGACTTTGTTGTAAAACATATACATGCACAACTTATTATTGCAAGAAACATTTTTAACATTATAAAGATTATGTCATACATTATTCCATCCATACATAACAGCCCATTAAAAGACCACTGCTTAACATGGGCCTATTCCATAGATTGCCTTACAATGAACAGGGATATTTGCCATTGTTCCCACAGTGTCAAGTGGGTTGGCAACTGCAAATTTTCATTTTTATTCAGCTGTTATAAGATGTTGCTGCCCATCTCCTACTTCAGCTTCCCTGCATCCCCTCTTATAACACACAGCATGGGGGCAGAACAGATTATATGGGGTTGTAAACATTCTTATACTGACACTACACAATTATTACAATTTTAATATGATGAAAAATTATGTTCTTCTATTTTTAAAGGAAATTAATATTAATTGGCTTATGTGATTGTCTATTGCAAAACACTTATAGGGCAACTTGTTATTACTACAGGGCAAGTTATTTTTAGTAGTTAACAGTAGTCACAATGAAAATAATGTGATTAATATCATATCAGAACTGAAGCTAAAACCTAACTATTTTACCCTAGTTCCATGTTCACTTATTCATAATGAAATCACTAAATCTTATATGATAAGAGTAAATACATTTAACTTTGAAAGGTTGACTATATTTAATAACAGAACATGTTTGAAATAGATGTTAAGTCACTATAATTTATGTATATTATTAATTTATTTAAAACAAGCATTTTATGGACAACTATACATCACCAATAACTTCATATACATAGCACTTCAGGTAAGGTTTCCACTAAGTTGTGATTGTTTAATTAAAACTGTTTTTAAAACTAATAGTCACAAAATCTTGACACATTTTTCAAAGCATAAAATATAATGTAATCTTCTAGCCAGAATCATCTCTAAGGCAACTATGTTTCTGTTAGAGTAATATGATTTAACCCTTCAATCCCCATGCAGCCACAAACACCCACAACACTTAAAACCATTAAAACTTATATTTAGAGACTACTTTTCTGTGAAGAAGTTTGACATTATAAAATCTATACAAAATTCTCTATCCTGTGATCTAAACAAAAGTCAGGTTTTACTTCATTACAAAAAGATTTATTGTATTTTGATAACAAAAAAAGCATACCAAGCAGATGCCGGCAGGGTGAAAATCACAATTATTTCTATATATTACACGAAAATATCTACGTAAAAAGATAAATTATATTCACACAAAAAACTTTTATAACAATTTTATAACAAAAAACTATAGTAAAACACTAGACAAATCCAAAAATCATAATTTAAATATAAAAATCATAATAAACATAGAATATAAATTAATATCCATAGACTAACTGTTTTTTTATTCCACTAGAGGATAGAAAAATTCATATTAATTCTATAATGCCAAACTTCTTCATAGAAAAGTAGTCTCTAACATAAGTATTTACGGGTTAAAGTGCTGTAGGTGAGTGCGGTCAAATTTGACCTCTTGAATTTTGATGGAATATCGAAGCGGTCAAATTTGGACACTTGGCATTTGAGAGGTTAAACTAAGTATGTAGTAGTTTTAAACTAAGCAGTAAAAGTATATCACAGTTACCACCCATACTGTTACAGCCTGTAAAACATAGGTTCAGTAGTGACTTTAATATGCTGCAACACATTGACCTTTACCTTATGAGGCAATATGTGGGAGGGGGCCATAGGCCGCTCCCACAGATTACCTCATAAGGTAAAGCCTCATAAAGTATGGATATTTGCTATAGATGCCACACCTGCATTACTTGGCAAGTAGATTGTTTTTTATTTCTAGTTATTATTAGGAAGACGCTACTGCTCATCTACTGATTTTTTCCCTCTGTAACCTGTTACAACACCAACAAAATGGTATAGTGTAGTGGATGGACATTCTTACACTGTGCATACACAGTGACATCAACAGACAACAACCTATTAGTCACTACATCTTTAGATAGGAGTCGCAGCCCTAACCTAGACAATACTGGTGTTTTCAATTCAACTCTGCCAACTTGAATTCAACCTAGAATCTTCCCACCTAGAGTATTAAGTTCTTTTGTTACAAAATGCCTCCAATTTCACACTAAATTTTGGCATTATAAAATTCAAAATATTATTGGAGTGAATTCTGAATTTAACAATGTAGCAACTGTTAAGAGTAACACATGGACAACTGCACGCCTATGCCTAACTTCTAAGTTCTGAGTTGTTGTGAGTGCTCCTTGTGCACAGGAAAGGATCCAATCATTCAGATGATAACTAAGATTTTAGTGGATACAAAAAAAATTAAAACATACAAATCAAAACATTGTTTTTTCTATTCCATGGCTCTATCTCTCATTGACCAAAATAAAATAAGTAATACTATGTTACGCTTAACTAATTAATCAATGAATACGAAATACAAATGATAATTATTTATTTGAAATCGGTGTTTTTAATTTTATAAGATTCAACGGAAATCACAACACCCAATACAAACAATAGAAATTCTGCGTATTTGTAAGATTACTTATGTACAGTTTTTTTTTTTTTTTAATTTAGGAGGAAATGCTGTGCACATACCTTTGCAGTTAATATCTAAATTTATTTTTCCTTCTTTCTTTGCTTCAAGTAACGCTTTTACTACCGATATTTCGCCATGCCTAGCTGAATATAATAATGAATCTTCAGCTTCTCTTCCTGCGTCTTCTTTAGTAGACATATTAACGAAATTTAGTTTTATTTATGCTAATACTATTAATTTATTTATGCGCCGCACAACACAACTCAATTGACTTTTGGTTTGTTTGTTTGATTTTGATTGGATTTTGACCGACACGCAGTGTTGCCAGGACAGAGTTTCAACAATACCGTGTTGTCCACGTTAAATACGGTGTATGGTGAAAAAAATATTGTATTTTACAGAGCAATTAAATGACGTACAACAAAGGAAATAATAGTTATTAATTAAGTAAAAATATCCATTTATTTTAAAAATAATACCGTCAAACTAACTAGACATCATGATATTTTTATGCACAAAATAGTTCAATCACTGTCACTGTGGATTGCCACCCTTTTTTGTGTTAGTTAAATGATTTCAGAATATTGTCAATTGGCAGAAAATGTATACAGTTACAGTTATGAAGGTTAGAGAACAGGAGAACGATCGCTACGTACTAAAGCATAGCTCGCCTGTCCATGAAAATTTGTAGAATTTATAGCGGCGCTGCCATCGGTGAGTAGTGGCTGCGAAGTTAGCTGTTTATGAGTACAAGTAGATGCAGTTAGTTGAATAATGTACAAATTTTCTTTGCGACATTGGTGAAAAAATTTTCATGCTCCGAATTTTTTTTAATTTTTGACAAAAAGAAACATTAAAAAATGGAGAACAATTTTATTGTGCGTGGATGTGCAAATGGTTTAGCATCTGATCAGAAAAATAGACTGAAAATGACTTTTATTGAGCAAACTTAGCGATCGCAGCGCCTTACGTATGGTGTCTATATTTCTGGGACACTATTTTCTACGGCGATCGTTCTCCTGTTCTCTAACCTCCATGGTTGAAGCCATGACGACAAATAGCCTGTTTTGCCAACATATTGTTACTACAACATTAATCCGTTTCTCTTTTTAATTATTGTATCATCGATATTCGGTCTAGTGGTTGTAGAGCGACTGCTGAAAATGAGGTCCTGGGTTGGGCCAAAAAATAAATTATAGAGTTTTCCGTCAAGAAATTCTCAGTAACTGCCCGGAGTCAGGAAGTTGGCGGTGTCTCACCCTAGTGCCTTGAAAAGCACGTAAAGCCGTTGGTCCTGCGCCTGATCTCTCTCCGGTCGTGTCGGTTAACCATCCCATCGGACTAAGAGAGTGAGGGAATAGAGAGTGTACCTGTGCTTGCGCATACACTTGGGGACTATAATCCTGTCCTGCGCCGATGGCTAGATTCCGTTGAGGCACGCCGCCGTGGCCGAAATTCGGTCTGGAGGACATTATTATTATTACTGTTACGAGCTTGGGGTTCGTGACCAGTGGCGGCCCTAGGGCGATGCGAGCCGTGCGACCGCACCGGGCGCCATCATCGGGGAGGCACCGAAAATGTTACCACGGGGTATCGGTCACACTCTCTTATCACTAACCAATTAATATAATAATAAAAAAAAAGGTAATTCACTCACTCTTATCACTAACATTCCGTTTTGTTGACGCTAATTAGGAAGACAAAATACGAGTATTTTGTTGCTTACAAGCCAGTATATGACTCTTCGGAAAGAGGACTTACTGGCCTCTTTCTTGATGCAATTGTTCAAGTATTTGACTTAGACATGAATGATTATCGAGGTAAAGGGTACAATGGTGATGCGAACATGGCAGGAAAATTACCGGTTTTAAGAAAATTAGACCAGAATTTGATGCAATACTCTCGGGCATTTTTCAATCCGTGTGGTTGACGTTATTAGAGCTTAATTTTCTCATATTCGCGTAATAAAATTAAATGATGAGTCCTACCCAGTCTGAAGACCACCTCCCAACTCCCTCGATTGCATGCATTAGCTATCACTACCAGTACCACCACAATAGGATTGACACACCACTCTCGATAATACGATACGTGTTTCGCCTCTACACTAGGTTTCCACAGGTGAAATAGACACTGCGATGGCTGAAGGCTAAATGAACGGCGAGCCGAAACAGTTGCTATTGATACAACTCTCTGATCAACGAGTTGTATAAGTAGCAGCGTATGGAGAGCGAAGAGAGTGTTAGGAGTTGTGGTGATGGGATTAGTGGTGACGAAGATAGTGTCAGCTTCCGCAGAGTTTATTTCGTCAGAAGACGTCTCGTGTAGAAGCGAAACACATGTCGTATTTTCAAGGTAGGTGTGTCGTTCCTAGTGTGGTGGTGCCAGGAAGGGTGGCGCTGGGAGTGGTAGTGCGGAGAGTGGTGTTTTTGGAAGTGGTGGTGAAGGGGATAATACACGCAACTGAGGGAGGGTGGGAGGTGGGCGCTCTTCAGACTGGGCAGGGCACATGATTGTTTTTATTTATTATATATATTTTTTACGTAGAAATGAGCAAATTAAGTTCTAACAACTTCAATATAAAAGATTTCCACAAAGTAACGCCTGATTCTTTTGATTAACGAAAAAGTTAAGTATTTTGGCTTAACTATCGACAAAAATCTAACGTGGAACTCTCACCTTAACAACGTATATGATACGGCTTATTTTTTTTTTAGATATCTGCAGTCGTATGGTTGGGAACCACTGGGGCTTCGAGCAGATATCATGAATCCACTATACACATTTAATAATAATTATATAGTGGAACTACCCTCCATAGAAGACTGACTTAATGGACAAGTTATCTTTGAGGTTGGTGGCCTTATATGGTACACCGAAGGGTCAAAAATGGACCTCGACGTGGGCTTTAAAATTTATGGGGAATGGCCCCAAATTGAAACTTAGTATAAATTAGGGTAGATTCACCTCTATCTTCCAGGCAGAAATTTTCATCATACTTCAGTGTGCGTAGGCAATGAACTTGGCGATGAGCTCACTCGGGAGAGCATAAAGGGCACACAATTTGGAAACAAGCCACTTTGCGGAATCTCAAAAAGCCTAGCCCAATTGACCCTTGAAACTCTTTATCACAATAAATCACTTAAGATCTGGTTTGATACACCAGGCTTAAGACATTTTAAAACCTTAATCTGGGTTTTGATCGTAAATTTGCTTCAGAAGCCCTGGGATTAAGTAAAAATAAACTACGCATTCTGGCAAGAGCCCTGACTGAATACTGTTGTCTTAAAAAGCACATGGCCATCCTGGGACTAAGCAACTCACCGGGAACAGAATGTCACTTCAAAAGAAGGTTTGGTCTTTTTCTGAAGTCTGTGATAATATGAAGCATGATCATCATTATGAATTTTTACCTGGGTCAAATAGTCCGACTAGGTAAGTTCAACTTCGACCGAGAAGTCAATTGACGGAATCAACTCGGCTGGCCAGTGTTCGGGAGATTACAACACATCTTCTCGTCAGGCATACCTAAGAACTAGATTGTACAATGGCAACAGTGCATGTTGCCATTGATGTCCTATGGATCTGACACGTGGCTCTTCACTGCTAACCGTATGAGGAAGCTCGAAGTAGCTCAGCAAGCTATGAAGAGGGTTATGCTCAGGGTTTGTCCGCGCAATAAATTTAGGAATGAGGATATCTGCAGTAAAACCAGAGTGACCGACATCGCCCAACTGATTAGTAAGCTGATATGACAATGGACGGGCCATATATCTCGAAGACCCGATAACCGATGGGGAAGAAAGGTTCTTGAGTGGCAGCCTCGTAACGGCAGGTGAAGTGTAGGACGTCCCCCACTAGATGGAGTTACAACCTGGTAGAACATGCAGGAAGTTGATGGATGCAGGTGGCTCAGTACCGTGCTTTGTGGCGCATTCCTTGTAGGGGGCCCATGTTAAGCAGGGGACTTGTGAAGGGCTTTAATGGTGATGAATGTTAATGGCTTTATATTAATATGATACATAAATAGAATGGACATTACGGGTAGAGGCCATCTATCCATAGAGTCTATTTTATTTATTTAGGTATAGGTATTGTATAGAATTTTTATCGATATATTTTGTCACACTGTCTTATCCCTATTATTAGTTCCGTGGACGTCCACTTCAGCTGTCAGTGCCAAAATAGCGCTAATCAAATCACCTCATCATGTCACGGTGCCTAACCAGTCCAGCATACTTGTATATACAGAGGTAAGTGGTTTAATACTGAAATAATACTAGTTTTTACGGAATTTATCGCGTATATTTAACTTTTTAATTACCCGACGTTTCGAGAGCTTTACAGCACCCATGGTCACGGGAAGGACTGAGATGTTTAACGTCCAGCTGTCATAGTTAACCGCCGTTACCATAGATTAAAATTTAACTTTTGTTCCGATCTACACAGTACGAACTTATGGTATCATGGAGTCTTGCAGTTGGATGCTTGGGTTGGGATTTAATTTTATTTATTATAGGATCCCAAGCAGATGGTAGCACCCAGCCATCTTCTCTATTGAAATTAGGATGTTTTTTGATTTCAATAGCCTCGCGAATCATCCTTGGAAGGAATCGGTGTTCTTTAGCGAGGATTTGTGGTCTATCAAATCTGATGTAGTGACGGGGGTGATCCCGTACATGTTCACAGACTGCAGACTTCCCGGAGCGTCGATTCTTCACATCAGCTATATGTTCTTTGACGCGGGTTTTAATTGATCTTTTAGTTTGTCCTATGTAGGAGAGACCACATTCACAATCAAGCTTGTACACTCCTGCATCTTGCAGAGGGATGTTACACTTGACTGATGGTAAAAACTGACCAATCTTCTTCGGCGGCTTGAAGTATGTTTTGATGGAAGCGCGCTTCAAGATGTAGCCAATCTTGTCAGTGACTCCTCTAACATATGGCAGTACAGCAGGTACACGCTCGACTGCGGCCGGCTTCACTCGTTCTCTGTGACGTAGGCGCGGGACCCGAAGCTTGTTGTCATGCAAAACTTGCTTGACATGTTGGAGCTCGGCAGCCAGGTGTTTACTGTCACAGATCCCTCGTGCTCTCTGAAACAAAGATTTACCCACGGTAGCTAACTGTGAAGGATGGTGGTGAGAATCACCGTTTAAATATCTATCTGTATGGGTCTTTTTTCTATACACAGT